CAGGGGCCAGCGTGAGGGGCTGGAGACGTGGCATGAGGCAGGCAAGTGTGAGACGTGCACTTGGGAGGTAAGACTCCGGGAGTTCACTGACAGATTGGGCAACAGTAGGAGTGAGGGGAAGGGGTGTGTCATGATCCCCAGGTTTCTGGCTTTGACAACTGATAGATGGAAGTTTCATCTCCTTCTCATAGGAGGGACTGGGGGAAGGACACACTTAAGTAAAATAAAAACTAAGAGTTCATTATTAGGTATTTTAAGATGCTTGTGAGGTATGAGAGCTGTCAAACAGGCATTTGTATTATGGGTAAGGAGCATATTGGATTAAAATGGGAAGTTTGGATAGTTTGCATATTATGAGGCAGCTGCCATGTAAAGAGTTCTGTATTGGAGTTAGAAGATCGGAGTTTCACCATTTTACTCAACTTCTGTTGGCTGCGTGACTAAGGGCAAATCACTTGATCTTTTTGAGCTCCATTCCTTCTCATCTGTAAAATGGGAATGCTACTTTGCTTCATAGGATTAAACAATGTGTAATATATATTAGGCCTCAGTTTATAGATTTTTGGCCCAGTGGATGCTCAGAAAAGTTCATTCATGCACATGCAATTTGGATTGGTAGGAGAAAGTGGGATTATGGAAAATTTTGAAAGGCATGGAAGGGACTTGGTGTGGTGTGGAGTTCAGAGTGTCTTAATATGGGAGTAGACCCAGTGCAGTTTGGTTTAGATGAAACTAAAGAAGAAGTAGTTAGAGGTGAGAAATATCTAGAAAATCAGTCGTTGTAGGTCCAGGATAAGGTGCTGACAAGGGCCTGGCCTGACATGGATGTAGAGATCAAAGAACAAATCAGAGTTCAAAGGAAGAGACTAGACTTGTCCAATGATTAGTTTTACGGCCTCACAGAGAGGGAAGAATCAGTCACCTGTGAACCTGAGGCTGCTAGCCTGGGAAGCTAGAAAAATAGTGGAAGCAACGGCCGATCTGGGGTAGTCTGAAAGGAAAGCTGAGTTAAGGAAGGACAGTCTGTTCAGCTTTGAACGTATGACTCTTAAGGTTATAGTATGTTGTCTGTGGGTGGTTGGATATTCTCTGGCAGTGAGATCTTGTGGAAGAGAGCACAGGATTAGAAGCTAAGAGGTTGCTTTTTCAGGCTTAATCACTAATTAGCTTTGTAGTCTTGGGAAATTCAGCAAATATTGAATGTAGTTATCTGAAAAATGAAGCTAACACCTCCCCTGTCAGCTTTACAGGCTTGTTTTGTGGCTTAAATAAGAATGTATATGAGGGGACTTCCCTGGTTGTGCAGTGATTAAGACTCGGAGCTCCCAAAGCAGGGGGCCTGGGTTTGATCCCTGGTCAGGGAACTAGATCCCACATGCATGCCGCAACTAACAGTTCACATGCTACAACTAAGGAGCAGGCGAGCCTCAACTAAGACCCGGTACAACCAAATTAATTAATTAATTTTTAAAAATGTATATGAAAACACTGTAATTGTAAACTCTTATACTATAATTGTAATAGGGTAATGTTATTTCTGTTCTTAGTTCAAACTAAAATAAAATATTTGGTTATAGAGCTAGAGAAGAGAAGAGAAGGGGGAAAATACCAAACTTCTTAGAAGTTTGTGTTTGGAACTAAATCGAAAGCATCAGAAATCTTAGTCTCTGAATACATGTGCCTGAAAACCTCTGTGGACTATAATTTGGGGAGACTATCTGGAAGCTGATCTTGTGTACAACAATTATGAGAACCAAAAACACAGGTTGCATCTTGTCAATTGTTGGTATTTAACTTGCCTTCAAGTTGGAAGTTTGGAGAACTTTTGAATTCTACCTGTGTACTTGCCCCATGTGTGTTTACGGAATTTTATTTTATTTTTTTTTCTATTTTTATTTTCTTTTTCACATCTGACTTTTACTACAGGAAAATGATTTAATTAAGTATTCCTTTAGTTTTTAAAATTAATTAATTTATTTACATTTTGGCTGCGTTGGGTCTTTGTTGCTTCACGTGGGCTCTCTCTATTGCAGCAAGCGGGGACTTCTCTTCGTTGCAGTGCATGGGCTTCTCATTGCGGTGGCTTCTTTTGCTGCAGAGCATGGGCTCTAGGTGCATAGGCTTCAGTAGTTGTGGCACACGGGCTTAGTAGTTGTGGCTCGCGGGCTCTAGAGCGCAAGCTCAGTAGTTGTGGCGCATGGGCTTAGTGGCTCTGCGGCATGTGGGATCTTCCCAGACCAGGGCTCGAACCCGTGTCCCTGCATTGGCAGGCGGATTCTTAACCACCGCGCCACCAGGGAAGTCCCTGTTTATGGAATTTTAGAACATACCCTTCTAGTGTCTGTGAGCTATACACATTTTTGCCAAGGGTCAGAGTAGGGTAATGTTTCAACTCTTAAGCTATATATATAAAGAAATGATTTCTAACCTTTGTCAGCATTATCAGTACAGTATGCTGGTTAGGATCACAGACTCTGAAACCAGACTGCCTGGCTCGAATCCCAGCTGTCAGCTAATGACTAGCCTTGTGCATTTGAGCAAGTCATAACCTCTCTTGCCTCTGTTTCCCCATCCATAATGGGAACTGACATTAATGTCTAGCTGAAGGTTGTTGGGAGCATTAAATGTAGTACTGTATTTAGAGCGCTTAACAGCTCCTGCCACACTCGATAAGCGCTCTTTAAGTGTCAACGGTGGTTATTATAGAATAGTTAGTCGTCATTTTGGCAGTGACCAAGGAATAAAAGCATATGAAGGAAAGAAACAAATCCTCTCAGAACCTACAGCTGAAGAAAATGGAAGTGGCATAGTGGCAAAAGTCTTGGGCTTTAGAGTCAGAGATGCTTACATTCAAATCCTAATTCGGCCCCCTGGTTATAGGGGTTTAAGCAAGACACCTAACCCCTCTGAAACACACTTTCTTTACCTAGGAGACAGGAATCAGATACTCACCTTGCAGAGTTGTTTTGAGGATTAAATGAGATACATATAAAGTGCTTGGCCCAGAGTAGATGCTAAAAAAGCGGGAGTGCTCTCTCACACCCCATGCCCCCCATCCCTCACTCCACTATAGAGCAGTAAGGGCAGTTTGATTTCCTATATGCTCACATATTCATTGTTTGCAATTGTAGAACTTTTAAAATTCTTTCCATTTGCTAACAGCAGAATAAACAACAGCTGTTTAATTGGATACACCTTGGAAAGTGTTGTCAGCTTTTGTTTCCTTCTTCCCTTTGCTGTTCTGGGTTACTTGCTTTATCATTATGGTAATTCCTACTAGAACCAAGATGGTGGACATTATTAGTTGGTCATGGAATTGAACTGGACTGTAGCTTCAGAATCCTCTTCCTAGTATTCTGGCAGCTACAGTCAATTCATCAGACTTGATACAGTAGTGAAATCCTCTCAGCCTTAGAGCTTTTTAGAAGAAGTGTTTATAGGATTTTCAAAATAGTATCTGGGCAGTCCATTAATCCTCTGTCTCAAGATGTGAGACTGTCAAACCTTATGACAAAGCAGAGTAGTCTTAGAGCATTTCCTAACAGATGCTTATCCATATTATAACCTTGTTACACAGTGTGGGCATTTTCAGACATCTTCTAGAGAAAGCACAATAATTGTGAGCGTATAATGCGGTGACCCAACCAGGAGTGTGCATCAGTATGAGCTGGAATGTGGCCTTAAAATACTCATGCTCTAGGCCTCACCCCAGATTCACTGAATCAGAGTCATCAGTATATAGATCTTGACATGTGCCTTTTGTAAAAGTAAAGATGATTCTGCTATACATACCACTGATTAAAAACAAGTAGATACTGGCAAGAGTATAGGAAATCAGGCATCCTCTCACACTACTGGTATGAGTATAAATTGATATAGTACAGCCTATAAAACAGTTTTGCAGTATCTATCAAAATGCAGATGTCCTGGAAGAATACATATATGCATAAAGATACAGTTTCAAGAAAGTTTCCTGTAAACCTGTTTATAATACCAAACAGTTGTGAGCAACTCAATGATTGTCAGTACGCAAATGGTTAAACATGTTAGGGTAGATTACACAGTTGTTTACTGTGCAACCACTGAAAGAGTGGAGTATCTATGAGAGTGATCTGTACATGCTGATGTAGAAAGATATCTAGGACATACTTTAAGTTGAATAAGCAAGTCACAGAATAAACTATTTTAAACATTTTGTGTATAAATATGTAGAGAAATACTTGGAAGAGTACCCACTAAAGTATTTACAGTGGTTATCCATGACTTAGGAGAATGGGAATGGTGGAGTGGGAGAGGATTTGGCCTTTTAATTTTTGTATTTAAAATATTTACAATAAGATTTTATTATTTTTGTAATAACAGAACCACTGGATAAAATATGAATGATTTAAGGAAAGCACACATGGAACCTAATTTGTATGTGTCAGGACACTGCTTATTTTGCAATTTACAGTTTTAACTGAGACTTATAATCTCTAATGTAGGAAACAGAAAGGAATGTCAAAACTGTTTTGCATGATGGCAAAGAGGATAAAATTTTGTTACTCAAGTTATTGTGAAAGTAATTGAGTTTCAAACAGATAAGCATTTTTTTTTTTTTTTTTTTTTTGCGGTACGCGGGCCTCTCACTGTTGTGGCCTCTCCCGTTGCGGAGCACAGGCTCCGGACACGCAGGCTCAGCGGCCATGGCTCACGGGCCCAGCCGCCCCGCGGCATGTGGGATCTTCCCGGACTGGGGCACAAACCCGTGTCCCCTGCATCGGCAGGCGGACTCTCAACCACTGTGCCACCAGAGAAGCCCACAGATAAGCATTTAAGATAAAAAGTATTTGCTCTGTGTCAGAATTATATTGGCTACCTGTTTTAAAAATTTAGTTTGTACAAATCTGGATATGAAAATTGGATTCAGAATATTTTACTTTAATCCTTTTGCAGTTGATTAGCCTCTAGTCTTTGAGGATGTTAACTAACACCTTTTAATCTCTCTTTTAAAACTTTAGGCCCGATGAGAGAAAGGGAAAGTTAAGGATGCTGGAGCAGAACAATGGATTTCTCTTTCTCTTTCATGCAAGGGATCATGGGAAACACAATTCAGCAACCACCTCAACTCATTGACTCCGCCAACATCCGTCAGGAGGATGCCTTTGATAACAACAGTGACATTGTTGAAGATGGTGGCCAGACACCATACGAAGCTACCTTGCAGCAAGGCTTTCAGTACCCACCTACAACAGAAGATCTTCCTCCACTCACGAATGGCTACCCATCATCAATCAGCATGTACGAAACTCAAACCAAATACCAGTCCTATAACCAGTATCCCAATGGGTCGGCCAATGGCTTTGGTGCAGTTAGAAACTTTAGCCCCACTGACTATTACCATTCAGAAATTCCAAACACAAGACCACATGAAATTCTGGAAAAACCTTCTCCTCCACAGCCACCACCTCCTCCTTCAGTACCACAGACTGTGATTCCAAAGAAGACTGGCTCACCTGAAATTAAACTAAAAATAACCAAAACTATCCAGAATGGCAGGGAATTGTTTGAGTCTTCCCTTTGTGGAGACCTTTTAAATGAAGTACAGGCAAGTGAGCACACAAAGTCAAAGCATGAAAGCAGAAAAGAAAAGAGGAAAAAAAGCAACAAGCACGATTCATCTAGATCTGAAGAGCGCAAGTCACACAAAATCCCCAGATTAGAACCAGAGGAACAAAATGTAAGTTGAAACATCTTTTTGAAAAAATTTGTAATATTTCACATTTACTGGAAGTCCAAGAGACCTTTTTCAGTTTTTATCTCTCCAAATATAAATATTTCTGATAACTTCTTTCATCTGATCCCTAGCATGCAGCTTGGGATGTTATGATAGGTGGTAAGTAAATATTTGCTGAATAAATGAATGGACATCATCTGAGTAAAGAAATATTTTAGAAACATGTGACACTAAAAATCTTGCCTCCTATGTTTCTTTGTTTAATAGCCTCACTTAATTTTGCTCGTAATAAACTGGTTTCTGCGAAATTGATTTATTTTTAGTGAGGAGCATGGACCTAGAGTGTGTCATACAGAGTGAAGTAAGTTAGAAAGAGAAAAACAAATACCGTATGCTAGCACATATATATGGAATCTTAAAAAAAAAGAAAGTTATGAAGAACCTAGGGGCAGGACGGGAATAAAGATGCAGACGTAGAGAATGGACTTGAGGACATGGAGAGGGGTAAGGGTAAGCTGGGACGAAGTGAGAGAGTGGCATGGACATATATACACTACCAAATGTAAAATAGATAGCTAGTGGGAAGCAGCCGCATAGCACAGGGAGATCAGCTTGGTTCTTTGTGACCACCTAGAGGGGAGGGATAGGGAGGGTGGGAGGGAGACGCAAGAGGGAAGGGATGTGGGGAAAATATGTATGCATATAGCTGATTCACTTTGTTATACAGCAGAAACTAACACAGCACTGTAAAGCAATTATACTCCAATAAAGATGTTAAAAAAACCCAACCAAACAAACAAAAAAAACCTCCTGGTTTCTGAAGATGAAGAGGAAGGGCAGAGAAAGATGGTTAATGATATTGGTTTTCCATTGTTCCAGACCAACTTTTGCTAGTAGAGCTTAGATTTAACCCTCATTACTAGTGTTTGCCACAAAATAACCTGAAGTAAATAAAGGAACTCTTTTTATAAAATCAGAGTTAGTATTCATACATATTCACTAAATCTTCAGGTAGAGGTTTTATAAAAGTCATTCTTTAATGGTAACTTAAGATGCATGCTGCTAATTTCTTTTTAACATCTCTGAGGTTTCAGTATTAATTTTCTTAATAAGAAAGGTATGTAACAAATCAATGCTAGCTTGAATGAAGAGTTTTTAGTTAGTATTCTAATACATGGTATTACTTGAAGATGTCCCCAGACATTGATTTGGGAAGAAATGAATATCTATGAATTTTTGTGACAGTTGTATGCTTTTCTGTCTGCTCTGCCTGTATAAGTTAATTTATCATCTTCTGTTCAAAGTAATGTTTACATCTTACCAACTCACCTTTTCCTTGGTAGCTGGGTTCCACTACTTCACACAACTCAAATATGGTGTTTTTCTGGAGTAAAGGTCACACTGGTTCTAGGCTCTCACAAGTCTCAGTGTGATATTTCATTATGTTTTTCTCATTTTTCTATAGTTTTCTTATTTATTCATTTAACAAATATCAACTGAGTACCTAATATGTGTTAGACGCTTTTCTAAGAATTGAAAGTTGGGCAGTGAGTGAAAAGTAAAGATGCCTACTTTTAGGGTGCTAATATTCTACTAAGAAGAGGCAGAAAATACACACATATGTATGTAAATGAGTCTAAGTTTAGATAGTGGTAGGTGCTATGAAGAAAATAAAACTGGGTGATGAGATAAAGAGTAATTGCGGACACTAGTAGTTCTTCCATCTTAGTTCTGCAGCTGTAAAATGAAGGCTTTGAAACTAAGTGGTTTCTGGAATGCCTTTGAATTTCTTATGTCAGTTATTAAATGCCCCCCACAGAACTTAGCTTACATAGTATCTTACACTGTTTATTAAATGAATGAATCAGTGGAAGGAGAGAAGTTAACTTTTTACTCTCCAGAGACTTCCACTGTAGCAGTTCGTTCATGGACCTGCAGTGAAAAGACATGTGATGCACTATGATCCTTAGCAATCACGAAAATGCATAAAACCTGCATTTGGTTTTAGGTCCTAAGAGCCATCTCGCTGGCCCGTCTTGCTTCTGCTCTAGAGAATCTGGCAAAAAGGAGAATATCCAATTTTATTTATTAGGCTAGACTTCTTGCCTTTATTGGTAAAAATATTAAAATATATAGTTTAAAATATGTCACAAAATAGAAATGGGGCTGGAAGCAGAGGCAGGAGAAGAGAGTCTGTTCATTTTGTATCCACTCTTTGTTTTATTGGAATCTAGGAAAAAAATTCAGTGCAGTGATGTGATATTTCTAGTAGTCACTTTTCAGTGAGATTTTAAAGCCAGTTCTGTCTTTGTTGGATGTCTGCTATATCTGGCCGTTTATATCACTTAAACCTTCAGTTAACTGTTATATCCAGGAGTTAGAATTGGTTAGATGTAATTTAAGAGTTTTAGTTCATTTTCCTTTTTAGTAAATCATGTGGGGCATAATTTAATATTTCATTATTTAGGATCTTACAGTATCTTGGGGTAAAGGAGTGTCACTTTGACTGAAGGTATAGATGTGTTAAGTGGCATTGATTGCTCTAAATGTTACCAAGACCATTGCCTGAAAGTTGAGCTTTGGGGGAAAATCCAGGGGTTTTTCTTTCAAAGAAATACGGTGAAAAGCTAAGCTCTTGTTAGTTGAATTTGATTAATTAAACTTTTATCACACATGGGAGGCAGTTATAAGCTTAAGAGATGGTGCCGTAAAAGTGATGCTCCATTCTGCCAGTAGAACTTTGGGCTGGAGCCCCCAAAGGCCCTGCTCGTTGTTAGTGCCGTGTCTCTGCTAAGCCATGCGGACAAGGGATGTGCCCGAATCAACCTGTTTTCTGTAACTGTGTATGTGTTTAATGGGGTTTTCTTAACTTGAACAACATCCCTTTTGCCTTCTTCAGGACAGTTGTTTTTAAGTGCTTTAATTTTTGATGCTCTTGTGTCTCCTGGTTGTCACTGGGGGTCCACGCTCTTGGTGTTCAGCATTGTAGCAGGCGTAGAAGGGAAAGAAGCCCACGTAAGAGTTTGCCCACACCACGGGACAGCTCCCCTCCCCCAGATGCTTGAGGGAAGCGTAGTGAGAACTGTGTGCCTGGGATGACTGTCCTCAAGCTGGGTCTGCAGATATATAGATAGATACAGCTATAGCTATAGATATATGGATATAGATGTAGACTTCTTCATTAAAACTCGCTCATAGGTTCTTTTCTGAGACAAACAAAGCAAACAAAATCTCATCTAAAATAATACGCTTCAAGATTTCACTTCTTTTTTCTTTCCTTTTTTCTTCATATTTGATCTACAAGTATTTCCTCCCAATTCTGAGCTGTTTGGCCTTCTAAAGAGTGGCCGTTCTTTGGAACAACCTAAGTATATCTTCTCAACAATGAAAACGTGTCCAAACATCCAGGCAGCAGGAGACCTGAGATCACTACTGAAATTGTATATTTTGTAAAGCTGCTTTAAGCTGTTTTCTCTCCCACCAAATTAGAAACATGTGGAAATGTTTCTGCATTTCTTCCTCCTTGGCAGGTGTAATGCCTCAGGCATGTGAGTGTAGGCCCTATTCAAACATTGGTCTTCTACTGGCACTTTGGTGGGCTTATCCAGAGGCCAGTCTCATTAACTCTTAGCTTGCCATTTTCACTTATAAAAAGCCAGATGGCTGGTTTGGTCCCATTAGCACTAAGTTAGAGGTTATATTTGGTTCTCCAGCCTCAGAGTGTTAGGTCTTAGAATTCTTAGAAACTGTTCATATGCATTGTGAACTCACAGTTATTCAGAAAGTAAAAGAAAAATGCACGAACAATTTACTGACTTTACATTTTTCTTTCTACCTTAAATGATGACATAAGTTTTTGGTTCTTTTAGAGAATATGATTTTACTTAATGTTTTGAAAACTATTAAGGATTTTGAATTCTGCCAGATTTGATGAGTATTATTCATTCTGATAAATCTCTTGGGTTTTAATTTTAAAAAGACCAATTTTTTTTTTTTTTTTTTTTTTTGTCTACACCACACGACTTGTGGGATCTTAGTTCCCTGACCAGGGACTGAACCTGGGCCCTCATCAGTGAAAGCACCGAGTCCTAACCACTGGACCGCCAGGGAATTCCCCCTAATTTTTTTTGTTTTTTACTTTATTTTTGGTTGCTTTGGGTCTTCCTTGCTGCACTTGGGCTTTCTCTAGGTGCGGCGAACGGGGGGCTACTCTTTGTTCAGGTGCGCGGGCTTCTCATTGCAGTGGCTTCTCTTGTTGTGGTGCGTGGGCTTCAGTAGTTGTAGCATGCAGGCTCAGAAATTGTGGCTTCCGCGCTCTTGAGCATAGGCTCAGTAGTTGTGGTGCACGGGCTTAGTTGCTCCACGGCATGTGGGATCTTCCCGGACCAGGGCTCGAACCCATGTTCCCTGCATTGGCAGGCGGATTCTTAACCACTGTGCCACCAGGGAAGCCCTCATTTAAAATTAAGATAACTCGGGCTTCCCTGGTGGTGCAGTGGTTGAGAATCCGCCTGCCAATGTAAGGGGCACGGGTTCGAGCCCTGGTCCGGGAAGATCCCACATGCCGTGGAGCAACTAAGCCTGTGCATCCCAACTACTGAGCCTGCGCTCTAGAGCCCGCGAGCCACAACTACTGAAGCCCGCGTGCCTAGAGCCCGTGCTCGGCAACAAGAGAAGCCGCCGCAGTGAGAAGCCCACACACCGCAACGAAGAGTAGCCCCGGCTCGCCACAACTAGAGAAAGCCCGCGTGCAGCAATGAAGACCCAATGCAGCCAAAAATAAATAAATAAAATAAATAAATTTATTTTAAAAAAAATTAAGATGACTTGAACACTATGGGGAGCTCACTCACTGTCACCTTTTCTCTGATGCTTTCTCTTTCTGAAGCAGCACTACTAGTACCAAAAAAGGTGTCTTCAGTCCCTATTTGATTTTAATCTCTTTTTTTTTTTTTTTTGCGGTACGTGGGCCTCTCACTGCTGCGGCCTCTCCCGTTGCGGAGCACAGGCTCCGGACACGCAGGCTCCGGACGCGCAGGCTCAGCGGCCATGGCTCACGGGCCCAGTGCTCCGTGGCATGTGGGATCTTCCAGGACCGGGGCACGAACCCGTGTCCCCTGCCTCGGCAGGCGGACTCGCAACCACTGTGCCACCAGGGAAGCCCTGATTTTAATCTCTTTTAAGCTTATCCTTTGAACAACTGAAGGAAAATGGATTTTATACCCAGCAGTATTTTATCTGTTGGCAATTTCTGACTCCTTATTTTTCTTGACTCCTAAGCATTTGGCTTCCCTTGACCATTTCATCTTAAAAACTCCCCTTCCTAATTGGTATTTGTGATACTATGTTCTCTCTCTTTACCTTTCTTTTGAGCTCAAGTCACAGGTCTCTAAATGCCTAGTAAGTATGACTTTTGTTCACGCATTAGCACATTTTACCATGTATATTCCCTTTCTGTCACTGCAGCATCCTTCTTTGACTTTTTTTTCTTCTTTTATTTTTATAGTCTTGAAAGCTTAGAATAAATCTTCTTGGGCCTCTTTTTCTCCCTTGCCATTTCTTGCCTTTTAAAATGACTGTGTAAAAAAATCTCAGTTCTTTGAAAGTGATTTTAACAGTGTTTCAAGCCAGCCTGGAGGAAATGTGAATATGGAACAAACAAAAAAATCAAAAAGAGGTAAGACATTTGAATAATAAAAAGGTTTTGGAGGAAATCCTGTCTTTAATCCAGAAAGGGAAAAATGTTATTGAGCTTCAGACGAGTTCTTAACAACAGTAGGGTTCTGTCGTTTGGCAAAGATGAGTCACTCCGTATCTATCTGCCCTCAGAGTTACAGAGATCCCTAACACCCCAGCATCAGAAGACTGAATGTGCCCAGGAGGAGGACTTGCTTTCTTGGCTCCACATGTGCTTCCCCAGGTGGTCCTGTCCTCCTGCTGTAGCTTGAGAATGAGAAGCTGAGGTGAAGGTTTAAGCTATGTTTGTGGACTGAAATGAAGCTGCCGGACGGGCCTACGCAAATGTGGACCGTATTTTTATTTTTTTTTGCGGTACGCAGGCCTCTCACTGCTGTGGCCTCTCCCGTTGCGGAGCATAGGCTCCGGACGCGCAGGCTCAGCGGCCACGGCTCACGGGCCCAGCCGCTCCGCGGCACGTGGGATCTTCCCGGACCGGGGCACGAACCCGCATCCCCTGCATTGGCAGGCGGACTCTCAACCACTGCGCCACCAGGGAAGCCCTGGACCATATTTTTAAACTGCCTCATTACACCAGAGATAAGGACAAAAATTCCCATTTGAACATAGATTTTTCTTTCCTTGCTCAGTGAGCGTGTCCTGTTGGATTAGCTAGTCATGGTGCCACCACAGACGCATCTGACAGAGCTAATTTAGTGCCCACCAACAGCTGCCACTACTTCTTTCACTTGGGCTATTTCCAATATTTTCAGTAGCCTCCTAATTAGACATTCTGCTTCCCCTCTTGCTCCCTTCCAAAATATTCTCCATGTAACAGCTAACGTGATCCTTTTAAAACAGAAATTGGCCGTGTATTACTTCTCTACCTAATCCTCTTCAGAGGCTTTCGGTGCACTTAGGATAAAACACTTAAATGTGGCTTACAAGGCCCTGGTGATGTAGCCTCCTCTCCACTCCCATCTTGTAACCTCTCTCTTCCTTGGGGCAGTTAAGTCCGTTGTAATGGCTTTTTTGAAGTTTCTACCTTTGTTTAACCTCAGGGACTTCACACATGCCACTCCTCTCTGGAGTGGTCTTTCCCCCACTTTTTACTAGATTAACTCCTCCTCTTTTGATTCAGATTATACTTTCTCAGGCCTTTCCTGACCTTCATATCATAGCTACATACAGACACACCATTATTTCTCTTTTTACATTTACATTGTATGAGTGTATGTATGTGTTTGTTTAATGTCTATCTCTTCTGCCCAACTGTGAGCTCTTTGAGGTCAGAGATCCTATCTGTCTGTTACAACATTGTATACCCAACTTCTAGAACAGTGCCTGGAAAGTCGTAGGCATTGCTGAATGAATGAATGATACTTGGGGTTTGGCACATGAGTCTGGCTTATCATTTCTTCATCATTTTTACAGTTTCTTTTATTTAATAAAACTTTGTTTTTATAGTAGCATCTTAAACTGCTTGAATTAATTGAATGAGAATTTTAAGTAACTTCTAGAATTAGCAATACTTTTTAAGTGGAATTAGAGCCAAGTTAATGGATATATTTCTCTTTTTTTAAGCCATCTAAACTAAATTCTGTTCTTTGACAAGAAAAGTTTTTAAACCTTTTAAATTACAAAAGTAATTTGCTTTTTACAGAAAACACAAATAATATACAAGTATAGATCTTCCCTCACCGCTTCCCTAATCTTGTTCCTCAAAGATAACTACTCTTATCAATTTATTGTACAATGTATCACATATTTTTCAAGGCGTATACAGGCTATTTTAAAATAAAAAGTAGGAAAAAAAAAGTAGGAAGATTTTGATAGATGTGGATTACTGACATGAAATAATGTTGTAGTTACCATCCCTCTGCTTAGATTTTCTCACTTTGTGTATTTCTGTAGGATAGGTTCCTAAAATATAATTGTTAAATTGAAGAGTGTACATATTTTGAATTTTGATAGATACTTCCAAACTGCCTCCTCAAAGGATTGTAGAAATCAATTTTTAAATAACGTATTTGTGGGTTTTATGATTAGAAAAGTAATGTGATGTTTATTATAAGCAATTTGACAAATATAGAAAAGCACATCCAAGAAAATCACTTATTCCATCACCTGGTGGTATCCTTCTCGTCTTTTTCTTCTGTACACATAAGAAATTATTTTTCCAAGATTGGAATCACACTATACAAACTGCTTTTCAATTTGCTGTTTTCAAATAACATTATATTGTTATTTTTCCGTGTCATTTAAAATTTTATATTATTCCACTATCTAGTTGTACTACAATTTATTTAACGAATTCCGTGCTTTTGGACATCTAGACTAATGTCTAATTCTAATATTCGCTCTTAAAATAGCACTGGTGTGCATATCTTTGTGTGTATCTATCAGTATGTGTATATATCAGTGCTTTTGCAGTATACACTTTTAGAAGTGGATTTGCAGGGTCAGAGTCTGAAAATTTAAGGCTTTTCATACATATTGCCAAATGGCTCTCTAGAAGAATTCCAAGTTACATCTTACTAGCAATCTCAGAGTGCCCATTTTTTTGCGCTCCGATAGGTTAAAAAAAAATGAAAATCAACAAATTAAGTTTTAAAAGTGATAAAGTAAGAAATGGGAGCTATAGCTGTGGTGTAGAATGGACAATGGATGTTAAGACACAGCATCATGTACTGTGTAAGTTGTATTTTTCCTCCTTACATTATTCAGCTAATAAATGTCCTTTATTCCCTTTGCTGTTTAGTTTTCTTTGACTCTTTATGTGTGTCACTGTTCTTTGGTTTGCTGCCATTTTATTCTTTTCACATAGAGACCAAATGAGAGGGTTGACACTGTATCAGAAAAACCAAGAGAAGATCCAGTACTGAAAGAGGAGCTCCCGGTGAGTGGCTTTAGTGAATACTGTCTAACCAAACATGGTGTGAGAAGGTGGAAGCAGAGTGATTAAATTAGAACACACATAGCATGTATTATTACTTCAGAAGTTATACTGAAATAAATCTTGGAGCTGGTTTAAAAGGTAGATATTTTTAGCAAATTATTTTCCTTTTCAAAACTATGACCACTTTTTAATAGATGTGAATTTTTGAGATGCCTTATCAATAATTTGGCAACAGAAACCATCAGTCCTCTTTTCAATATTTGGAGTGGGGCTTATCTTCCTCCTCTCTTCTTCCCTTTTGCTAGATACCGATAGCAAGCATCAGAGAAAAGTATGAGTGAAGTTTTTTATGACCTTTTCCTACAGGTTCAGCCGATGTTACCTTCTGTTCCAACAACAGAAGTGTCCGCTGGTGTTAAGTTCCAGGTTGGCGATCTTGTTTGGTCTAAGGTGGGAACCTATCCTTGGTGGCCTTGTATGGTTTCAAGTGATCCCCAACTCGAGGTTCACACCAAAATTAACACAAGAGGTAAGAAAAGGCATAAATGGACATTAGTAAAAAGTTGTGGCAAAAAAGTGAGTCTAAAATGTTGTTTATGAATATAATACATACGTGATAATATAATCTGACACCCAAACACATATCAGTATCAGTTTTTAAAGAACAGTGAAATAATTACGGTCATCTTAACTGGCAGAGAGCCTCTACAGCTGACATGGTCCTTGTTTTCCCTTAGAACACCCTATGTTTGTTTTATAATTTCTTTCACACTTATTTTTTTAAAAAACCTTAATCTGACCTCCAAAAGCAAGCAGACCGATAGGTAATGAGATGTCATATATGAGTGTAATAGACATTTGGGCCAAGCTTTCTTTGAACATTTTTATTTCATCTTTGACTCCTGTGGGTAGTAGTTTTTTACTCAGACAAGTGCTTTTCATCCTGATAAATTTTGCAAGATGCCTTTTTCCTCCTTCTTTCCATTTTTTTTTGTTTTTTGTTTTTGCGGGTGGTGGTTTGTTTGTTTTTAATGAAAAAAAATTTTTTTTACTCCATTTTTGAATCTGTAAATTTACTGGGACATGCTTATAAATTCAATATGAAATAGAAGTATGGTTTGAAGCCAGCTACATGGCATAGAATCCTACCTTAGGAATGTTAATAAATGTTAAGAAAACCTGTATTCTAACTTTACTCCTTTTCCAGAGTTTGACCAAAACCTGTAGAATAGATTCCTGAGATTTTAGCATTTGGAATGGACTTGCTTAGTAGCCAGAGGAAGGTTGGAGTTGGGAATTTATTTCTGGATATTTGCTTTGCGAACTCACTTGTCGAGTCCCTTATTGTCTGTGACAACTTTGCACCTATTTCTTTTTTTTTTTAATTTATTTATTTATTCATTTATTTAATTTTTGGCTGCATTGGGTCTTCGCCGCTGCACGCGGGCTTTCTCTAGTTGCAGTGAGCGGGGGCTACTCTTTGTTGCGGGGCGCAGGCTTCTCATTGTGGTGGCTTCTCGTTGCAGAGCACAGGCTCTAGGCGCGTGGGCTTCAGTAGTTGTGGCACACGGGCTTCAGTAGTTGTGGCTCGCGGGCTCTAGAGCGCAGGCTCAGTAGTTGTGGCACACGGGCCTAGTTGCTCCATGGCATGTGGGATCTTCCCGGACCAGGGCTCAAACCCGTGTCCCCTGCATTGGCAGGCGGATTCTTAACCACTGCGCCACCAGGGAAGCCCTGCACCTGTTTCTTTTTCTCTCATTTTAAACTTTCTATCTTGGTCCCTGTTCACTGTTAGGAGGAGAAAAAGTGTCTGGCAAGTCAGATTTGTGACAGGATCTGCCATATTTGTAACTCTTGTGCTACCCAGCAAGAAGTCCACCCAGATACAGAAGGCAATCATCTTGTCACTATAATCTGCTGATTAAAGGTTGGGGTGACTAGAAGTATCGATGGGGCAGAAGTTTAAAAAAAAACCCAACACTGTTGGATGTCCACTCCTGTGCAAGGCACAGTGTTAAACAATTCTCTTGTAGGACTTCCCTGGGGGTCCAATGGTTAAGACTCCACGCTTGCAACGCATGGGGCATGGGTTGGATCCCTGGTTGGGCAGCTGAGACCCCACGTGCTGCATGACGTGGCCAAAAAGTAAATGAAAAAACAAACAATTCTCATGTATATTTTCTTAAGCAGTCCTCATAGCAGCGACACTATGAAGTAGGTACTATTATCCTTATGTTTGGGATCTGTGAATAGAGTCTTAAAGAAATCTTAGTCCCTAACCTCCACTCTTAACTACTACTGTATAATAAAAGGAAAGTAATTGAATTCCCCTACTCATAATTTACAGAGACTGGGGGAGGCAGTCCTAGCCCCTTCATTTATATAGTGGGGCTGTTGGACTCTTAATCTCTTGAGTACCTTGCACATTTAATAATCTGTGATTCTTGAATGGGAGAAGAAAGGGACAAGCCTTCTTAGATAAAACAATACACAAGTCCCTATCTGGGCCTCCAGAGCACTCTAAGATATTACATCACGTGAGAGTTGTGGCTCTTCAGTTCTGTCCCCTTAGGAAAGCATCCTTTTGAGATTATATAAAGAATTTCACATTTAATTACTCTATGAAAACTTACTAATATAGCTTTTTTCTGGGGTACAAATGAAAGCATAATCTATGCTTCATCTTGTATTCCAAAGGAAGTGTTTAAATTTATTTTATGAATTAATCTGGTCTGGTCCTCCCTACTTTAGTACTGGAAAAACTGATTTTGTTTATATTGTTGAGGAAACCGAAATCTGAGAATTTAGGTTTGAAAAATGTACATACTGATAATATTTTAAATTTTCTCTTTCCTGCAGTAGTTTTTAAAATAATAGCCTTCTTGAGATATCATTTACATGCCATAAAATTCACCCTTTTAAAGCCTGCAATTTAATGATGTTTAGTACGTTTCCAGAGTTGTGTGACCAGTTACCACAATCTAACTTTATCACTTCTTTCATCAGCCCAAAAAAGAAATCCCACATCCATTAGGAGTCACTTCCCATTCTCCCCTCTGCTCCCCAGCTCTAAGAAGCCACTAATTACTTTTTGTCTCTATAGATTTGCCTTTTCTGGGCATTTCATATAAATCTAATCATATAATATGTGGCCTTTTATGTCTGGTTTCTTTCACTTAGCATCATGTTTAGAGGTTCATCTGTGTTGTGGCATGTATCAGTACTTTGTCTCTTTTTATTGCCAAATAATATTTCATTGCATGGCTGTGCCGTGCAGTTTTAAATGAAGTAGTTTTTTGACAGTTTTTCTACAAACCAGAAACACAGTATAAAACTTGATTTTGTTGATTATGTTCCACACATGATACCTGTGAAACATTTTATGCTGCTTATTATCTAAACTACTTTGTAAAATTTGTCTTGAATTTTATATAGTAATCAATGGTTTCCATACTGTTATTAGTCAGTATTGTTATTAGTCAGATTCTCAGCATTGGAAAACGTATTTAGAAGTTTTCACACTTACAGATATAATTCTTTGAAGAGCACATTGAAAGATGTTTGGATCACATGTCTATTTTGTTGTATTTCATTGTTTAGATCTCATTTTAAGTGTAAAAATTAAAAATGGAATGCTCTTTCTGCTTATGACAATACATTATATATGTTCAGAAGGCAGAGTTGCCCATAGTCTCATCCTCCAGATATATAACAACTATTAAGAGTTTGGGAGTAATTCCGGGAATTCCCTGACAGTCCAGTGGTTAGGACTCTGTGCTCTCACTGCCAGGGCACGAAGGTTCAATCCCTGGTGGGGGAATTAAGATCCCATAAGCCTCGAGGTGCGGCCAAAAGAGAAAAAGAGTTTGGGAGTAATTCTTTTTCTCTTTGCACATTGTAATTAATAGATATGAAAATAAAGATTTTTAACTGAGAGTTTTAAATGGTATCACATTATACCTGTTGTAACTTTTAATCCCAATATATTTTTAGAAATTTAAAACCGGACAGTTTTACCTATATTATTTTTGTTATATAAAAATGTTTCCTCCACATTTTTCTATTGGAAATTTAGCTCATTATTCAGAGACAGATGTGCTTGTTTCTCCATCTGTCAGGTCTTTGGGTTTTTATTTCACTCTTTTATATAGTTTTCCAGCCAGCAGGAAACAAAGTGCCAACAAAGAGACAAATTGTTTGATTTGTTTCTTCTGTAGTAAGTGATTTAATGGAGGAAGAAGTTGAAAATAAAGATTAAAATGAGCTTATGTTATCTGTGAGTTTTTGTTTTCATGTTTTTAACTATAATTCAAAGTCTTTTGGGATTATCTGTTCGGTTCTAAATAAGTAACTCTGACTTTTGGAAACAGATTATGTCCTATTTTTTTTTTTTTTAATAGTCCTAATAAAATTTCGTTGAGAATCAGTTAAGTCAAATCCTTTATGGAACATAGAAATACATACAATTCCAGCCCTTTCCAGTAAATGGCTATATAACATTGGTGTAGGATCCCTGAATATCCTACTCTGATTTGTACCTGTAGGAGAGAAACAGTTCTACAGCTTAACAATACAGAAGTGGGGTGCTCTGACCTATTTAGGGGGAGCAGCAGTGAAGTCAGAATTGAGTATGAATAACAAAGGATTATAGATGAGTTCAAGTAGCCAAAGGAGTAGATGAATAAGTGTTTACTCTTCATGTTTTGTATTTCATACTCAGTCAAGAGAAGGCAGGGCATTATAAGATCAGACACAAATTAACCTGAGGACTTATGAGCAAAGTACACCTCTCAATTAAGTCATGCTGGGAAGTTGTAACAGGAGAGAAAATGGCCACTTTTACCTACCGTGAAGGCTTTTGATTCCAAATAATTGGAAGTGACATCAAAGGGTCAAATGACTCTAAGGATTAAAGACTGACTTCTTGATGGGACCAATAGGATTGATGTAAATAACTGATCGTGATGTTCATAGAAGCACACGACAAGATAAATGAATACTGCTTGACAGGGTTTTAAGGTTTCACTACCTAGTCTTTACATGGAGATAAAAGATACTACTCAGTTTTCTGGGAAGCAGTTTTGTGCATTTTTTCGTTTTGTTTTCTAACCAAAAAAATATCTGAGGGAAAAATGATGTAACAGAAATAGAACTGAAATGATCCCTCTTCCTTTCAAAACTAAGAAACTTCATGTAAAAGTTTCAGTTTCTACCATGGTGTTAGGGTATTAGTCTGAGTTTTATAGCCTTTGCCTGAGTTTAAAATCCTATCAAACTTTCTGAGCTCTTAAACATAAATAAACAATGGCACAAATATAAAATCTTGCCAGTTTAATAACTTAAAAAGCTAAAGAAAAAAATGAAAACTGGATTGTGTTTGTATTGATAAATTTGTTAATGGATGGCAGTAGCTAAACAGCAATCTAAATAGGAATAAGAATCTTATTCAAAGTGTTCTTCTCCCTGCCTTGATGTCTTCCTGGGGTTGAATTAATTAAGGTGTTTGGTGAAGCACTGTGATCAGTCTCC